TCTGACTGCAGTTCAATTACTCCTTACCTTGTTCCGTCACGTTGTGACCGTCTTATATATATACCAGACTACCCCCAATCTAGTTGTCTCTCGATAATTCATGAAGGTTCGAGAAGGACGTGGCGTGATACTAGTCACGTGACCTCGCTGACGCAACAATATATATAACTAACACGAAAATACGTGCTGTTTGTTTTCTTTCTTTAGGGTAATATTTTTTAAACTCTATTTTTACAGAAAAAGAGGGTGCCTTCAATTAGCAAATTACACCATTGTATTACTAATGCACTAATTATGCAAAGATTCCGGTCCAGCTGGACTTAAATTTTTGTTGCTGTTGTTTTGAAAACGATATAACAATTAGTACTGTATTTCATTATTGCTATTACTGGTATACATTTTTTTTCCAAAAAAAAACTTTACTTGAACGCTCACAACTTTTGATATGTTTTTGAAATACTTTTACCAAAACATCTATATTGAACAATTTATGCCTTTTAGTCGATCATTTTTTTATGCTTATAAAACCGATGAAATTTTTAAAGTTGAAAAAACTCTTTGTATGTTTGTGATTTTGTGGGTTCGAGAGTACAGTTTCAGCAGTGTCTAAATGCTGTCGCTATGGCTGCTGATGAAAGTGAGTTGTTGTTTTTTGACACGTTTTCTCATGAGGCGAATGAGGTAAGTATCAAACGTTAAACATTTTGTTAAATTTTTATTTGTATTTAATCGATTCAGAAGTTTGTGAATACTAATAATTTTAAGTTTTAATTATGCTGCTAAGTTGTCATTTCATGATCATTAATTGACCATACTCGACGTAGGGTAGCAAAACTGTGTTATCCAAGGCAAAACAAAATTAAACTAAAATTAAAAAAGAACTGTTGTGAATTTTAGTATTACTATATTCTTTTATCCTCTTCCCTAGTCCTTATGTTATGAAATCTATATTAGTGCCTTGACACGTTGACAACGAAATTTTTTATTCCACAGCTTCTGTGTTGAGGACTAAATGAGTAAATCAGTAAATGATATTAAGTTTAACTTAAGATTTGGAACAGATTTTGAATTGAAGTTTCGCGGCAGATATTGTTGTAACTTGATTTGTGGAAACACTCTCTTATAACTGTGTTTAATTTCTTCTGGATTTGAATAGAGCGGGCACAAGTTTACGGGAGAGCTATAAACACCTGCATTTTATTTTTAGGGACATATAAGTTGTGTAGTTTATGAATTTCGTTGTCTGATGTACGAGGATGTTTACATCAAATCCATAACAAGAAGATTAAGGGAGAGGATAAAAAGAATACAGTAATGCTAAAACGAACAAAAATTCAGGTATTCTTCAATGTGTGCTAAGAACTGTGATGTTTTAATGTCTAAAATATGTTAAAACATTGGAAGTGCAGAGAACAGTATGTTTTAAAGAGTTAAAGAGACTTCAGATTTGAAAGAAGAAGCCCTTCGAACAATCAACAAACTACTGCTCAGCTTTTAATAGCCTTATAGGTTTAATTTTCATGTATTTCATTTTGTAGTTGGAGATAGATGCAATATTGAACCATTATAGTATTTATAACATACAGGAAAAGTATACTTGTAAACAACTAAGGATATTTGTTCTTTGTGGAATTTGTCTTTAAGTAAGAAGTTTTGAAGAGGAAAAAACTTCTACATCATACATGAAGTTGAGGATAAGCAGTGCTGAGCAGTTTGAAAATTTGATATCTAAGTACAGCTATTCACCACCTAGATAAGGACGTGTAATATTGATAGAGAGCTTATTAACTATAGGAACGAGAAAAGACTTCATATTATTTAAAAAAAATTCCATTGTCTTTTGAACATTAGTATCCATAAAACTATGAGAAAAACATTTCTTACAACACACATTTAATATTAGCTTATTGGAAAGATAACTACTAATACATTGTGCTTGTTTTCTTAGAACAGAAACAAGATTTCATTTAAAAGACTTAGGTATAAAATTTTCAAAGTTGTAGTAAAGATATGTATTAGTCTGTCTATGAAAGCAACTAACATGAAAACCAGATGAAGTTTGTTCAACAAGAATATCTAAAAATAATGTTTAAGTTCGTTTTCAAATTTAGAAGTGAATTTCATATTGTGGTGTTACTTATTAAGGTATGTAAACAAAGAAATGGCATTGTTATCAAGCAAGACATGTTTCATCAACATACCTATTATATTGAAGAGATTTGAGTTCACCAGGATAATTAGTCAACAACTCTCTCTCATGATAACTTGATAACTAAAGTAAGGGCAAGACAAGATCCCATTGCCACCCCATCTATCTGATTGTAAATTTTATTATTTAAAATGAAGTACGAGTCCTTTATGACAGATATTAATAATTTCTTCAAAATAACTTTTGGAATCCCTGTCATGATGTTCTGATCATGATATACTATGTTTGTGGCCAAATCAATAGTTTCATTGAGAGGAATATTATTAAAAAAGGACTTAACATCATAACTTTTCATAAAAATAGGTTTGGGCAAATTAACCATTGCAATTTTTTTAGAATATGTGAAACTATCCTCAACAGTAAATTCGGAAGTAAAATTCTTCAGAAAAGACTTTAAAAAGTATTCAGCTTGTGGTTGTAAATACCAAAGGTGGAAACAATGGGTCTCATTGATACGCCAACTTTTTGTGTTTTTGGTAACTAAAAAAAAAGAATACTTAAGTGAGAACTAATGGGCTACAAATAAACTGAAATTATGTTGTTGTTGTTTTTTAAGTAAAAAAAACTTTTAAGTTTAAATTCTCTACTAAAGGAGGATCTTGAAAGAGTTTTTTAACTTAGTTTGATCTTGCAGAATGTTTACACAATCAACTTTATTAAGTATGACTACTCCATTTCCATCATCAGACTGAGTGATAAGTAATATCTTTCAAGGAATACAAACATCGGAGAGAAAATATTTCATAAGCATTAAGTAAAGTTATTTTTTGTATTTAAAAATGTCAAGTACAAGACTACTAATATATGTTTGAATATTATCAAAGGTTTGATCATTTTTAACCCAGATAAGTTCACCTTTTAATTTATAAAGAAGAGTCTAAAAAAACCATGGAATTAAAAAAGTTGAATTTTGGAGGTAGAAAAGTAAAGATTAAATTTTTGTTTAGGGCTCCTATTATTTCCTCATTTTTGCTTAGTTAATATCCCACAGATTTGTGATAATGCTGTCAGGGGATTATATTAAAAACTGCCTCTCAGTTGAGACTGTCAGTGATCTTATTCGTAGTGAGAACGAGACGTATATTTGGGTCGGTGGTGTTCCTCCAGGGGATTCTGAGGCTGCAGTTGAGGGCAATCCTGAACATACTGGAGATAATTGTGATTCGCTTTTTCCTGTGCCTTCTTTTATTCCGTTGGCTTCTCAATCCCCCTGTGGGACAGTTGTATGTTTACGGACTTACAACACTGAAGTCCAGGGTTCATTTCCCTATAGTGGACATAGCAGATAGTCCAACGTTGCTTTGCTCTAACAAGGCAAACTTACCTGAATAAATGTTGTTTCAAACAATGGTAATCAGAAAGAAATATAAAAGGAGACTACTTTGGGATAAGTTGCCTCTGATTTCTTTTCTTCATTTGGTCCATCAAGAGTGTTATATTTTGGGTCTTTCTCCAGTTGCTTTTGAGCATGCACCTTACTTGAAAGCAGCAGCATGGTCTGGGAGCAAATATTTAGTTTTCTCTCCCTCCATGGACATTTTAGTACATGGAGGGAGGTTTACTGCTCAGTTATGTGATGGGACAGCTATGCCTTATCTGCCACGTTTGTTGGAAATACATGATTTAGCTATCACAGCTAGGTGGAAGCATATTCCGAATCTCAAGTAATACATCTGATCCTCGAAATTGGGGGTTCTGAGGCAGAGTTTTAGTTAACCTGAATAGATCAATGCCCCCTAGTGGGATAGCAGTAAGTCTATGGACTTACAACTCTAACATCCAACATGTTGTTTTCCTAACACTAAACTTTGTTGAAAGATTATCAGGATCACAGACTTCATTGATGACGAACTGGAACCATTGTTAGCATGCACATTGGTTCAACTGTCAGCTTCTACATTCATCCCTGTTGTTGTTGGTGTCCCAACTTTCATTGCCTCCACAGAGGGTCACAGTTCAGCCCCTATCTGAGGATCCTGACCTCCAACATCAGCCCCTTGGTACATTAGTAGCCACAGTAGATTCTGTCCATCTCCAAGGGTTCTGCTCCAATGGCGTCAGGGATTATTGTATGCCTTCGGGATCTGTGGGGCTTGGCTATGAGAATTTCTAGATGTGTGGTAATCTTAACCATGGATCCATGGGCACTACAGGTCCTTGAATCAGGATTAGTCATTCAGTTAATATCTTCACCACCATTATACACCCAACCTGTAGGGTTTCTGTCTTCTGCAGATCGTTGTATTTTGGACTGTAATTCTATGGCTATCAGAGTTTGGTTGGTCTGGGAGTAGAGAGTTGTGCTAATTCTTCTGGGGTTTTACTCTTATCAGTTGTTGGGTCTAAGAAAACAGGAGATTGGGGTCCAGTTGTCGATCTCTCATCTATATTAATGTCTAGATTCTCCAAAGATTACAAGTGACTCATTTCTCAATGTGAGTTAGGATTTTTAATAGGATTGTGGATGTCCACATTTGATGTAATCGACTCCTATCTGCTCATTGCACTATCGGTGTTTTTCGTGCACAAGGATCAGGTATTGTACAGTTCAGGGTTTTTACCTTTGGAGTAGCAATTTCACAGTGTTATCTTGCATTTCCTGTCAAGGGGCACTTGGTCCAGGGCTCCTTGTTTTCAAACTTTGTATCTCCTTTCTCAGGACCTCTCCTATCATATCACCCTACTAGCTTGCCATGTTCCACAGGTGATGCTTACAGTAGCAGATCAATTGTCTCCACACAAACAGATTTTCTCACCAGAATAGATGCTGCATACCAAGGTTTTCTGTTGGATTGGCTCTCATTTTGAAACACTGATGATTGGTGGGTTGGCTGCTCATTGGAACACCCAACTACTGGCTATTTGGTTTCCAGTACTTCACCTTCAGGCTTTGACAGTGGATGCATTCCATCAGGATTACAACTCTAGGTCTTCTCTCCAATTTTTATGTTACCCTAGGTACTAACTATTATTTGTTTCAACCCATTGTCTGGTCCTGTTGATACCACCGGATTGGCAGCTACACCCTGGTTTCTGCTTCTGTGGTACCTTTTGGAGTGCTCACCTTGTCCACTTCTTCATTGGCCATCTCTTTGGAGGTAGCCATGATCTGACATGGCACACACCCAGCTATCCAGAAGCTCAAGCTGAAGGCATGGAGGCTTTGCAATTATTTGAATGGTGTCTGGATTTAATTTCTAGAGTTGCCATGTATCTCTCTCAGGTTTTGGTTAGTCCTGCGATTGATGTTTGTCAATGGAAGTGGCGCTCATATCAGCAGTGTTGTGTTGAACTCACTTTGATCAGAAGTGCAAACCATAACTTATTTTTTTATATGGCTTTTGTCAAGGGTTTTGCATCTTCCACAATTGCCCTGTATAAGGCAGCCTTATTGACTACTGTTTGATATTCGAGACAAAATTACTTTGTGTCTTCAGTACTCTCCAGCTTTCTCAAGTTGCTTTGGGTCCTTTGTCCCAAAAGACCATTCCAGTTACTTATATTAAGGTTACATTACATGCTCTTTCTCAACACCCATTTGTGACCATAGCCTCATATGCCATGTATTACCTTTACCTGAAGGCTTATTTTTTGTTGCTGCTGACCTACAGACATCGCCAGTCAGAGTGGTTTGTGCTGATTGTCCACAGGACACCTTATCATTCTACCTGTCCTCAGACCAGTTCTTCCCTAAGATACTGTCAGCCACAGAAAGGGGTAAATCCTTTTTACTGATTCAGCTGATCACTATTTCTCACTTCTATAACTGATCACATTTCAATCATTTGTTATGTTCAGTGAGGTTCTTGAAGGTTTTTGTTGCCCACACTTATGCCTTTAGAGATGCTAGACACTGACTTTTTTTATTCATTGGGATCATTCAGTTTCCCAGGATTCATCCCCGGTTACATTGACAAGGGGGGTATGAAATTGTTTCATATCGCTTATTCTGGGCTCTCTTTGAAGGCGAGGAATCTTCTGCGTGTTACATATAATCAGAATTGTCACATTTCTATGTCAAAAGCGGCCCGGTTGAATTGCCAGCTGGAGGTCATTGTGTGGACTGGTATGTGGATCTTCCCCAATACTTTTATCTCTCATTATTTGCATTATCTGACAGTCTCTTCATCTGTGGGTTTTCTTCTACCCCCTGTAGCTATCTTAACAATATTTAAAAACTCTTAAACACTGTAATTTTCAGCCATTTCAAACTAACTTCTTATGGTTTAAATATATTCACAAAATTTTATACCAAAATAAACTATAAATTATTTTCAAGTTAAAACTGAATTCAAGTACTGACACAATAATATTTTAAACAGATTCAAGACTAAATCTTTCTAGATAATTTATACAAAATCCAAATAATATATATTGCACAACTATACAAAAGCTAGAGATTTTTTCAATTTCTTACGACCAACTCTAGCTATTATTTTATTTCAGATCCTGGATGTGCCACCAGTTGTTATGATCCTGTATTACCATACTGTATAATATGTAAACACAAAAATGACAAATTTGCAATTTTGTAGTTTTAAAGATATATTATTGTTATGACAGTGGAAGTCACGTGATGCTAGTAACATATCATGAGATTCTCAATGGATCTTGACTTTTCCTGGAAACTCTAGTCTTTTTCTAGATGCCCTATATTTTAGTATATAAGCTCGGCAAATAAAGCGGAGATAATAATTGCAGATAGACAGATAATTGAGTCGAGCGAGCGGTAGTGACTGTAAGTAAAGTGCATAAATCATTGTGAATTATAGCGTGTGTTTAAGTTAAAGTGATTGTGGAAATTCTGTGTATTGCAAAGTTGTATTGAGAAAGAATAAACTAGTTTTATTTAAGAAAGGACTTGTATCGCTGAAGTTCCCCGGGAAGAATTTATACCGGAAATTAACAAACGACCAGAGACGTAACGTTATATATTATTAAACAAAAACACAAAACATCAAATATTAACTTGTATACAATAATTTAGAAAAGGGTAAAATATAAAAAAAAATCACTCTTTCTTAGTAGATCCATGAAGAAACTGTTCTCCAATTCAACATAATCACTTCAAAATGTAGTATATCGAAATTTGGCTTCAGGTTGTAAGTAAATACAAAGTTCCAATTCATGCTAGATATACAGTTACATAAAAGTTCTTTGTTCCAATGTCCACTGCACCAAAACTTGTCGATATTTTCCAAGAAAGGTTTTCAGTAGTTCTCAAAAAGCACAAGGCTTACACAAGCTAAGACTAATTCTTAAACTTACAAACTTTTAGAGTCGTACACAAAAAACTTATGATAGCTTATAACAAAAACCTACGATTAATATCTAGGTTCAAAAACTCTTGAGTTCGATACAGAAATCTCTGTCTAAAATGGCCACTTAAATTAACCTAAACCAAACTTTTCAAAAACACTTCTCTCTCTTTCTACTACTTACCACTAATGAAACTAGTGACTTTTTATATAAAACCCCAAAAAATGTTACAGAGAGTACACGTGCTAAAAAAACCTGTTAGTTACACATCATTGATCAGGCGATACATGTGCAGTACCTTTCAAGTAATTTTTTACAAAAATACAGCATTGTAACAATATGTAATCTTGTACATAAGTTTAAAGACAATGACTTTGCTCTTAAGTAGAAACATACACTGTATTTGACTAGTTATTTTCCATACAAGCACAGTTATATGCTCAATAGTACATTTTTCGTTATTGTTTTCAGTTTGAAGGTTTTATTTCATACAGTAGCACAAAAATAAGCTGTTTTTTATGGTATTTTGTTACATTTTTATGTGTGTGTATTGAATGTAGTAGTCTAAGTAATTTTAATTTTTCAGGAGTTGAATTTGGACTTGGTTAAATTTCCTCGTCCTGTATATATCTATGAGATCCGCATCATTCCTTTAGGTTCCAGAGTTCAAGCTGATTTTCCTGGAGGATATAGACTTGGGTAAGTCTGCCATGTGTATTACCATGGATATTAGTTATTATTATTTTTATTTGCTTGATTAGATGCTGTAGTATTAAACATGAAAATGTTATTTACGTCTCACATGCATCTAAAGTTTACATGCATTCTAGAAGAATTAACTAATTACTGAAAAATTAACTGTACAGCAATGTAGCTACCATCGTTAGTGACTATAGGTAGTAGATAAATATAAGCATGTCCTGGGGTATACTTTGT